CAACAGAGCTGCTTCATGGAAGAAGAACCTCAGCTTAGCCTGTTAGCCTTTGCGCTAGCACCGAAGCTATATTGCCTTATGTATTAGCTTGGCGCTAACGCAATAAACTAACAAGCTAAACTGAGGTCCTCCATCCATATTTTCAGTTGCAGGCTGAGTCATTTTTGTGTTCCCCTCTCTGTCATGTGGATGGAGGACCTCAGTGACGAGAGGAAAATGTGTAGCGCTGAGCTAGTACATATATACGGTGATAGCGTCTGGGCTAACGCTAAAGCTAACAGGCCAAGCTGAAGTTCTTCCATGAAGCAGCTCTGTTGTCCTCCATCCATATTTTCAGTTACAGGCTGAGTCATTTCTACCTTCTCTTCTCTGTCAATGCTCTCTGGTTTCATTTTAAAGAGTCGATCATCAGATATTGTCCAAGATTAACCTTCAGGGTGGATTTAGCTCGTTAGCAGCCTCGCACCAAGGACCTATCCACATCATCATTTACCCAGAATGCTTTGCATGTAAATAAAATGGCCCCGCCGGTGTAATATATTTTTAAATTTTTAGTTTAAAAATGATAAAACTAAACATCCTACAGTATTTTTACAGTCTTTATTTTATAGTTAAAATAAATGGTTATCAAATAAATTCTAATGTTACAACTAATCGGGGATCCCTTTAACGCTTCACAAAGAAGCTCTAAAAGCTAAACAGCTTCTTTCGGTTTCAGGGTACCAAGCTCTTCCTCCGCTGTTTGCCCTGGGGTACCACCAGTGCCGYTGGAACTACAATGACGAGGCGGACGTGAAGGCTGTGGATGCTGGATTTGATCTCCACAAAATCCCTTATGATGTCATCTGGCTGGACATTGAGCACACAGACGGGAAGCGTTACTTCACCTGGGACCCTGCTGCCTTTCCTGAGCCGGTGAAGCTTCAGCAACATTTAGAGAAAAAAAACAGGAAGGTGGGTTTCTGGGTGCAACACTTGCAGATTTTACAACACTGTCTTCTATTTTAAAACAGTTTCTTATCGCTCTTTTTGTTTCACGTTGTTTAGATGGTTGTGATAAGTGACCCCCACATTAAGAATGATACTGATTGGTCYATGTTCTGTGAGGCCAGAGATGGAGGACATTTTGTTAAGGACAGAGAGGGACAGATCTATCGGGGCTCATGCTGGCCTGGTAATGTTTAACTAACCACAGAGTTTAACTAAAATTTGACAAAYCTTACTTCTGTTATATTAATTAAATACTAAAGTGTCTCTGCATTTGAAAAAGTAAAGAATACATACAGAATGCACGCTCTGTGAACATTCAATAATTTTTGCTTTACCTATGCCATTAACTTTGTTTGTCTGTTAGCAAAACTTATTTTCCAACACCGGATGAATTTTGATGAATCTCTCAAAGTGTTCACTGGAGTTACTGAACATCTGCAACTCATTAACTTTTGGAGTCAGCCCAGTTTAAGATGGCTGTCAAAGCTAATCAATCTTAGCCAAAATAAAAATGGCTATAATGTTGACAAATTTACTAAAATTGAGTCCAGTTTTTTTACATGGTAGTAGCTGAGAGTAATCCTCAAAACTCATAGTACTAACACATTGGGTTAGATCACACCTTTAATATTCTTCATGTTGTGATTCTTACTAAACATTTTTTTCACAGGTGARGCTTCATATCTTGATTTCAGCAATCCGGTAACTCGATCATGGTACTCCAGGTGCTTCGGTTTGGATAAATACAAGGTGATGATCAATAAAGACCATTCTTTTTCAAAACAGAAGGAAAAACAAGAAGGCTGAATTTTTCTTACTTGGTTAAAAATGAACAGAGTACCAATATGCTATTGTGTGAATTCAGATTTAGTCTTGACTTTATTTTTCAACATATTTTACTTTAAATTTTTATATTTTCCCCATAGAAACACACAAATCTTTTTATTTGCTTCAAAACATTGTTCTAATCTGTATGACAGCTGCTTCAGTGTGTTTGCTCTATTGTTTGTCTTCTTTTAGATAGCTTTTTGCTACTTTTTGCTTCTAGCTAGGCTTTTGCTTCTTTTAGCTTTTAGCAAGCATTTTGTCTCTTTTATCTTTTACCACACCCTTTTTATCACTTTAAGCTTCTAGTTAGCTTCTTTATATATTTAGCAACCTATTAGTTTTTTTATTGTTTTTGTTTTTGTTGTTGTTGTTGTTGTTGTTTGTCTTTTATCTTATTGGGTTGGTTTTGATTCTTTAAGCTTTTATTTAGCATCAGAGGTTCATAGTAACTAAGTACATTTACTTTGTTACAGTACAGTAATTTTTTTGAAGATTTGTAATTTTGTCAAGTATTTTATAAATTGTCTTTTACTTTCATTTTGTTACCTTTAAAACCTAAAAATGATACTTTTACTTCTTTACTTAAAGTTTAACACCTAGTTACTTGTTATAAACTAAATCTGTGTGAACTCATCATGGAAGGAGTTGTTTATATGCTCTAAAAGAATTGTGTTGAATTTACTCAACCAAATCATGTCAAATATTTCCAGTAAACCTAATACGGTRGAGTAAATTTGAGGCAGTATACATATTTTATTTTAAAGAAATTGACCAATTTACTCAACTTGGTTTTGTGGAGCCAGTTTGGTTCTGTAAATTTAACAGTTTATTTGTGAGAGAGCATGGAAAATTACTTTTACTTTTACTTCTACTTTCCCAATTTTTGTGAACAGTTTAATGACTTTTACTTAAGTACTTTTCTCATCAGTTACATTTATTTTTACCAAAGTAATTTTCTGTTAAGGTATTTTTACTTTTACTTAGTTGTTTATTTCAAGTACTTTATAGACCTCTGGTTAGAATTAAGCTTTTAACTAGCATTTTGCTATTTTAGCTTCTTAAACAAATTTCAGCAAAGTCAAATTTAGATTGTAATTTTTAAGAAATACATTTTTTTTTCAAACAATTTAATCACGTTAAACATGATAAACGTTTGATCAGGAAATCCTTACTTGTGCCTGTTAAAAGAGCTTTAATGGTTTCTCCAATCTCCTTTGACAAATAATATTTTTATATAATTTTTTTAATTCTCTTTTTAAATCAGTACTGTTGGCTGAAGACAGCAAATACTGATTTGCTCTCTGTATTTCTAAATGTGTCCGTCTCATACAGGGTTCGACATCATCGCTGTTTGTGTGGAACGATATGAATGAGCCGTCTGTTTTCGATGGTCCAGAGAAGACCATGTCAAAGGATGCAGTGCATCATGGAGGCTGGGAACATCGAGATTTACACAATCTGTACGGCTTTTACCAGGTGTGTGGGCTCGTTGGTTTCAGAGTAAATCCCAATACACTAGTTATTATTTAAATATACACATGCATGTCTTTCTTGACTAAAGAAACTTTGGCTGATTTAATTCATTCATTTTTAATTTTTGTTTTCTTGTAGCACATGGCTACAATGGAGGGTCTGATAACTCGCTCAGGAGGCTTAGAGAGACCGTTTGTGCTCTCCCGCTCTTTCTTCGCCGGGTCACAGAGATTTGGTGAGTTCTTAACAGGAAACTGGTGAAATCACATCTTAAGGTTTTTGTCTGGATCTCTAATGGCGCCGTTTGTTGCTGCTGACTTCATTTGGGATGCAGGAGCAGTATGGACCGGTGACAACGTCGCCTGCTGGGAGTATCTGAAGATTTCAATTCCAATGGTTTTGTCTCTGAGCTTGGYAGGCATAGCGTTCTGTGGAGGTAATTATCTGTTCTCAAAACATCTCATGAAGCACTGGATAAATCTTAATGAAATTTAAAGAAAGGTGGCGGGTGATACGCATTCCTTCTGCTAAGAAATGCTTTTTCTCTGCTGTTGTATGAAACTTAATATCACTTGTATTCCTTGTTCTTGCTGTTTCAGCCGATGTCGGTGGCTTTGTTCAGGATCCAGACCCCGAGTTGCTGGTTCGCTGGTACCAGGCTGCAGCCTTGCAGCCATTTTTCCGAGGTCACGCTGCAATGGGTACGAAACGGCGTGAACCCTGGCTTTTTGGAGAAGAAATCACAGCAGCTATCCGCACCGTCATCCAACGAAGGTGAGGATTTCTGTGTCATGTTGAGGTGTATCCTAACACATCTAATACACAGAAAAACTAATTCTATTCAAGGCATGTTGAGGCTGAAAGTTTTGTCACGACGACTCCCCAGAAATTTTTAAATCTATTGAATCTATTGTTATGAAAACATGTTCATGTGTGAAAACAAATTTTCAATACATGTTTTAAAATACTAACAAGTTCAGCATATTTTTAACTATTTCAGACATTCAGATATCAAATCCTTTAGTTCAGTGTTTCTCAAACCATTTGGTTCTGGGGACCTCTTACAATGGTGAAAAAAATTCCAGGGACCCCCTCATAAACCTCATGCTGTTTTAAAAGATAATTTATCGTCATTTCAGCCCCTAAATGCCATGGGAATATATATGGTTATTTATTTTATAATGTTTGTTTTATTAGTTCATTGTTCTTTATGCATTTTTAAAAATAAAAACCAAATTAACAATTTAGTGAAATGTTTGACCCCCAAGATACCTCTCATGGACCCCTGGGGGTCCTGGGACTCCAGTTTGAGAACCTCTGCTTTAGATGCATCAGGACATTCTGGTGGGGATTTTTGATTTCAGAATTTAGATTTATTGAACTTTGTTTACACCTTTTTTCTTGTATTTTACATTGAAAGCTCTTCAAATCTTTGCAATCGGGCTCTTAAATCTACTTAAACATATTTACTTCATTTTCCATTTCCATCTACTGTTTTGTCAATTTTAGTTTTTGACTTTTGCCTGTTTTTTTAGTTGTTAGCACAATTTTTCTCATTTTAGCATTTAGCTACTGTTTTGCTGTTTTGAGATTTTTAGCTTTGTTGCTAGATTTTGTTGTTTTGCTCATTTTGGCTTTTAGGTACTGCTGTGCTTGTTTTAACTTTGAGTTGTTGCTTTGCTCATTTTGGTCTCTGTCTAGTGTCTACTGTTTTACTCATTTTAGCTTTTAGCAACTATTCTTGTTTTTCTGTGGTCTAGTTTTGTTTTTTTATCAGTTGCTACTGTAACATTGCAGAGAATCAAAGTGTCAGCTAAACAAACTCTCCTCTGCTCTCAGGTACCATCTGTTGCCGTACTGGTACACACTTTTCCACAAGGCTCACACCTGTGGTCTGCCTCCTGTCAGGTTAGTGATGCTTCTATCTGCTGTTCAGTAAAAGTACTGCAGTCACACAGATGTTAAAACACTAAAAGGTCATTAACAAAACATACTTCAAGTCCTWCTCATTAGATGAGATATTTGTCTAAATTTTAAACTGTTGGAGCCAGTTCTGTTTGTCTGCTAGCAACATATTTTATGAACCACTGGATGAGTTTTAATGTAACTTTCAGAATGTGATCTTTGAATGTACATCTACAACTGACCAGCGTTTGGAGTCAGTCCAATTCGAGATGGCCACCACAGCTGTTTGTAATTAACCAACATGAAAATATAATTCTATATAATTATAAGTGACCATAATTCATTCAGTTTTACAGAAGTTTGTCTAAAATTTGATGTGGTAGTAGCTGAGAGTCGTTCAACACACACTGTGACCTTGATATCTTGTGATACTGCAGGAGACTCCACATAGCATTATCTTCAAGGTTTGAACATAACAGCTACAACTACATCATTTGTTAAAATAAGATGATTTTAGTCTAAAACTCTGTCATGTATGGAGGTGGATGATATCCATTCATTCAATGCATATTTTGACTTTACTTATCAGATATGTAGATATCTTTTTTTTAATTGTTGGTCTAACTGTTTGTTTTACTGCACAGGCCTCTGTGGGTGGAATTTCCAAAAGAAAAGACTTTTGCAGAGGACTCTCAGTACATGATTGGTGAAGAAGTCATTTTGTTTTTGCTCTAAGATACTGTTTTTATTTTTTCTGCAATTTTAATGCCAGAATTTGTGCTGTGTGTTGTTTTACGCAGGGGGAGCACTGCTGGCCTGTCCTATAACACAACCAGGAGTTCAAGAAGTCAAAATCTTTCTTCCTGGTTGTACTGAGGTAAGGAAATCACCAGTGCCCTCATTTATCAAAGCACAAGAACCCTGCGTACGCCCTTTTCCACGCAAAACTCCAGATGTATCAAAACTGAAATGAACATGGAAATGTGCGCAGCCCCACACCAACTCCAGGGCTGGCGTACGCACGTTTCTGTGGTTCTGGTTCCATTGGCGACACTTAGAGGTGATTCTGAGAAACTGTTCATGATGCGAAAATGATTATCGTTCACAGCAGACACACATGATTAACAATTATTACATCCACATGGACGCAGTTAAATAAAGGACGCGCAAAGTTGTGCCAAAAATACATTTAATAGGAACGGATTCAGCCTTACTGGAGGATATAGTAAATAGTGTAACACACAGAGCTTTTATTTATAAACAGATAGAATTTTCTGATCCACGATGACGACTGGCTCATCAGCTGCGACACAGCGAGGAGCCGTGCGCCACGCATGCATGTGCAACAGCAGCAATTAAACTGGGGTTCTGGGGTTATAATGTTATATATTTGTGTTATACTTTGTTCAAGATTGTTTTTTACCTCCTAGGTTTGGTATGACATCAGTTCTGGTGAGATGTACAAAGGAGGCAGGACTTTGGTTCTTCCAGTCACTCTGGACACAGTTAGTGTTTGCTTTTATTTCAACACAGTCCAGCATATACCGGAGTGTCGTATTTCTCATATAGATAGGTAAAACTGTAAATCCCTTAAAATGCAGACTCTGCCTCAGTTTGATGTTTGCTCCGGACAGGTTCCAGTGTTTCAACGAGGCGGCTCGATGGTCTGCAGATCAGCAGGAAGCGGCACGTGCACRGCTGACTTCCAACAGCTGCCTCTCGCTGTCACCGTGGCTTTAAACAGTCAGGTAACAACTGGAGAATGGTGCTTTTCATCTTAAATGTGTTAAATGATCCAACCATTCCTTGAAAGTATCCATATCGCCCGCTGCACTTCATGTCAGTGTTTTAGACTAAGATTATCTTATGATGAGAAATGATGATGTTTTGGTCAAAACTTACTTTAGCAGTATTGTTCACTGTTTGTGATGCTGATTCTGCAGGTTGAAGTAACTCCCCTCTCTCTGGTTCTGATTCTGAAGCGGTCGCCTTATTAGTAACTGSCAAGCTGTGTTCCACTGATATCTCAGTTTTCTCCAGCTGTCCTTCAGACGTCAGCTGTTGTGGTTTCTCCTATTGTTTGTTTCCAGCCAGAACTTTGTTCAGGAAATACTCATGTTAGAAGCCAGAAGCTGTGCTCCAGTTTGATTCAGAGTCATTCCATCAGACCTGAAGAGATGTTTTCTTTCCCAGAAGAGATCAAAGTTAGCCACAAAACTCACAGAGTGGTCATCACTGGACTTTTCCAAAAAGCCATTAAGAGCCAACAGTCTGCTGAACCTCTCAGCTCCTCCTCTTGCTGTAGGAACGGGCCCACTGAGGAACACATCCATGTTGAGATTTTTAACTGCATTCARCAGCAGAATAAAATCCTTCTTCAGGATTTCTGACTGTCGGTTCATAACTTCATCACTTCCTGTATGAATGATGAGTGTCTTCAGAGTTGGATACTCAGCTGTTATTTGCAGAATCTTCTCTGTGAGGTCAGACACTTTATCAGCAAAACTCAGAACTTTGACTTTTTTCTTGTTCCAGAAGCCTCTGATCTCATTCACCATTTTATCTGTGATGATCAACATTTCTTGATTCTTGAAAGTCTCTCTTTGGACTTGTTTTGGCTTTGAGGTGGATCTGGATCTGGTCTCAGGTCCTTCTCTGAGGTCAGAAGATGAACTTTGTTCAGACTCAGTTTCTTCCAGTGGTGTGAATCTGTTTTGAAGAAACACTGCTTCATTTCTCTGGCCGTTATCAGCTGTTTTGATTACAGCCTGTCACTGCTTTCTTTTCCTTGCAGGTGGAGAGAAAACATTTCTCTGTAACTCTGGCCATTCATTGTCATCAAAGAGAGATTTTTTTGGTCTGGCACAAAGAGAGTTCCACACAGTTTTACTCTCAGAAGCAGCTTCCATCTCCTCTCCATGTTGATCTCTCATCTCAGCCTTCTTACCCATTTTAACACATGTTGAGTTCTCCAAAGCATTCATCTCTTCCAAACGATGAATCTTGAGCTCCAACACTGTCACCTTTTGGAGAAGCTGGTAGAAATCCTCTTTGGAAAAGTAAGGAGGCATCATGAAGCTTTTCTGTACTCACTCTCAGCAGACAATGTTTCAAAAATCTTCTCAGGTTCTTCAACAGCCAAAAATAAAAATTCAATGTTCTTTGCTTATTCAAGATCATCCATCACAATCATCACCAGCGTATCTCTGTTGTTAAAACAATTTACCATAAAAAGGTTATTTTCATCCAGCTGGAGACATGGACCTGAGCAGTCCAGTCCTTGTTCACTCAAATCAGTCCACCTGCAATGTGACCTTGGTCCGTCGATCTCCTAGTGGTCTCTGCGACAACGCCAAAATTGTGGTGGCACGATTGACCAAGAATGCAGAAACACGTTGGAATAAATGCACAGAAAGTCTGTGTTTATGGTCATCAAATGATTTAATTTGAGCAACAACAAAGCAGAAGTCAATCAGAGAAGTCTGTCAAGTTGTGGCTGGCTCATCAGCGCAGAGCAGCCGATAATATAACATCCTGTAACATGCTTACAACTAATCACAGTTCGCCAACTGTGAACCATCCAGCCAATGACAGAGCTGTCAGCCCGGAAACACCTTATCAAAATAAAAGAGGTCATGCATTGCTGGAATCTTGAAGTCTGGGCCGATAGATTAAAACAGCCGAAACTAGTTATCATGAGATATGATTACTGGACAGTGTCAAGGTAGAACAGATATACATAACTCCAACAGTTAAGGCAAAGGTTTTAAGCAAAGATCTTGTGCAATGAGTAGCATTTGACCCAGCGGTGTCTGATCCTTGTCCTGCTCCAATACACCTGATTCAGTGACTGAGTTACCTCTTCAAGTTCTGCAGAAGCCTTGGAATCACACATTCATTCAAATCAGGTGTGTTGGAGCGGAGAAACCTCTACGGCATGCAGGATAGTGGACCTCAAGGACCAAGACTGGACACCCCTGACTTGGACTAAATGTTTCTGTGCTGCTACAGCCACTATTTTTGTTTTCTGAAATCAACTGACTTTGGCAGCCATMTTGAATTGTCCAATACTTCTGTTGTGTTAAAAATAACATTTAGAATTCAGTGAAAATAGTCAGAATTTTGCATTCTTACAGTAACATTTATTTCTTAAAGTTGCAGGATTTAATCCCTTTTCTGCATTAGCTGGATATATATGTTGATAATTCAGTTTTATGTTCTTTTTTTATAATTATTAGTAAATTCCTGACCATAGTTAAGTTTTTTTTTTCTTCTTTTTATTTTGGTTTTGTTTTTTCAGGGCAGCGCTGATGRTGAATTGTACCTTGATGATGGCCACTCCTTTAAATACCGCGACAGAAAGGCCTTCTGTCTGCGCAGGTTCACCATGCAGTCAGGCCGTCTGCTCTCCCGGTGAGTCATCCTCAGGCTGCATTTTAAGGGCTCCGGTTTTAGACTAAGTGTGAAAAATCACACAGTAGATGTTAAACTCTCAGTTTTAGTCAAAACAAAATGATTTGCGTGCGTTGACGCTCACACACAATGGTTTAATGCTTGTTGTTGCTTTTTACAGTCCCGCCTGTGAAGAAGGAACATTTGACACTGAGTCGGTCATTCAGTCAGTTACCGTCCTGGGGCTGAAGAACAAACCGTCCACCATCAGTGTCCATGTGCCAGGTGAGGAGTTTTCTGCCTGTGTTGTTTGTGATCAAGAGCACTCCCATGGCTCATCAGCAGCAGTACAGCTCCTATTGTCTGCACATTCATTCAGACTGAATAAATACTAGAGCTGTGAAATTAATCGAGTTAACTCTGATTAATTTTAGTGCTGCATGGGCATGATTAAAAATTTTAATCGCGATTAAAATTTACAGTCACTTTACTCTGGCTGAATATGTAGGTTTGTATATTGCAATGCACTCCATGTGTAACACATTATGTACAGATTTTTTTCTTCTTGTCTTCTTATGGCTTATTTTATTTTATTTATTTATGTTTTGCTGACAACTGTGACCTTASTATCTATCTTTCATTCCTCATGTAGTACACATTTGGAATGAAAATCCTTGAATTCTTGATTTAACCATTATTCTGCACAAAATGTAACTGACTCAAATGTGTTTGGGGCATTTTTTAGGTCCTGATTTTTGTTGTGTTTGTGCAATTGAGGTGATATTTTTATGATTTATTATTGTTGTATGTATTTCTTAAGCACCAATATTTTTTTCAAAATAAATTCATTAATTAATAACTCAAGTAATTTATTTTACCAATATGCAATAAAGTGTTATATTAAGTTTAAGATTAATCGTGATTAATCGTGATTAATTCACAGCTACCTTGGAATTAATAGATTAAAAATTTTAATCATTTGACAGCCCTAATAAATACATAAATAAAAGGCCAGATCTTCCTTTTATGGCAGCGTTTTAAACTAAAATCATCTCATGATGAAAAGGATGCCAACATACATCATTTTATGACTGAATGTAAAAGATAATTTTCTATTTGTGGATAATAGGATATTAGGACACACATTCAATGACATTTAATTTTGACTACCACACATAAATATTTATACACCCATCTTGATACAGAACATAAAGTGACGCTCGTCTATCTTTGGACAGTTTCTCATCTAAGCTCTAAATTAAAAACATTTTAACAAGAAAATGTCAAACTGCACAGCTGGACACCTCATGGGTCAAGGACAATGGTGGGAAGAGTACCCAAATGTTATACTCAAGTAAATGTAACACTACTTGATCATATTTTTACTCAAGTAAAAAAAAAAAAGCTACCCAAGAAATTACTCAAGGGTAAAATAGTAACTAAGTTTTATAATAAATAAGTCACTATTACGTATTCCATTGGAAAAATCATGCATGCTCACAACTGCACATTACTGATGTTCAGATTCTGTGGTTTCTGATGGTCATTGAAGGTATATATATATAAATATATACATACATACGTACATACACTCACCGGCCACTTTATTAGGTACA